GCGGGCGCAGCCTTCCCAAGGGTTGTCAGCGCTTTTTATTACGGTTTCTTAAATATCTGTGTTATAAAAATATGATTGCGGTGAGTGTAGTAGATAATTTCAGAGCTAATGCAGTCGTATTACTCAGACGTCACCCTTACGAACATCTTTCCTTCTCCCTTCAGCTTTTTATCACAGATTTTAACTGCGGTTTTGGGAAGATAGCGTCTTCTCTGTCCTCAGCAGTTCTCTTGTCGGAGCTCTTCGTAAACTTGCGTCAACTCTAGCAGCCGCGCCTGAAGTACGTTTGTTGTAACTGTACTTTGTAGGTACGTGTTTGTGCAAAAGCTTTTCACAGCTGTAACTCAGCGGGGACAGATTAAAAAAATTATTCTGAAAGGGCGACAGGAATAGAAAAGAACAATTAGAAAGGGGGTGACAGGAAAGTTAGAGAAACTTACTACGAGCGCTAATATAAAAAATAAATCTGAGTTAGCATAGTCGAATGTAAGAATTAGCATATTGACAACCGGGCAAGGTTTTGTCTGAATGGCTCGCGTTTTCTCTTCACTGGAGGATTTTCCTTTACACGCGAATCGTGAAGGTTGTTCCAAGGCATCCCCGTTCCGTGGAGGCAGCTCACAGCGGGTAGGGAGCACCGGGAGAGATAGGTGACCTAAAATACAACTGGAAAAGTAAGTAAATTAGTCTCTGCAAGGAAAAGAACGTGTTATGGGATAAAGGAAACCGGCTGATGTCTTCGCACTTCTGTAAGACCTCATTACGGTGAGGACACGCACACGGAGGTTCAAAGGAGCCGGCGGGAAGCCTGCTCCCCAACTACCGAGGAAAGTTCACGCACCAGCTCGTTCTTTCCCTCTGAGGCCGCGGGCCCTTCATACCCACGCAAATACCGGCCCACCTCAGCCCCCGGCGGAGCCCTTCCAGGGTCCGGGAGGCCGCGGCCGCGGCCTCCCGGACCCTGGAAGGGCTCCGCCGGGGGCTGAGGTGGGCCGGTATTTGCGTGGGTATGAAGGGCCCGCGGCCTCAGAGGGAAAGAACGAGCTGGTGCGTGAACTTTCCTCGGTAGTTGGGGAGCAGGCTTCCCGCCGGCTCCTTTGAAACTTCTAGTGCGTGTCCTG